TTTAAAATATTCCAATAGCAAATATCAATAAATCCTTAATTGTTATAAATTACATGTTATTATATTTTGTATATTTTACATTATATAGAATTATAATTTAATAATCCAATTTATAAATAATTTTTATATTCAAATGTCTGTAATAGGTGTGGTTTAAATGTACAATATGAAAATTTATTTGTATACATTCACTTTATTATAACAAAAACTGCTATTCTAATAAAATAATTGAATTGGAGTAAATTTTAATTAACTTAATTAGATAAAACAATTAAAATTACAATTTATACTATTTAATGTTAATTAATAATTATTTTATGAATTCTCATTAAATGTGATTTCAATTCTTGTTTCGAAACAAACTTTTTGTCACAATTATTAGCAATACATTTATGAGGTTTGATTTTATTATGCCGTTTTAAATGAATACTAAACAAACATTTTTGTCTAAAACTTTTATCACACCCATCAGAATTGCAAATAAATGGTTGCTCACCTAGATGCGTGTGTTTGTGATAAGCCAAGCCATTATTAGTAGTGTATTGTTTGCCACAATTTTTAACATTGCATTTATATTTTATTTTGAAATGAACGGCACTTTTGTGGTTTACTAATTGAGTTCTGTCTCGAAAATATTTGCCACAATCATTGAAATCACACACAAATGGTTTGATATGATTGTGAATGCGTTTGTGATAAGTTAGGTGTGGTTTCTGTGAAAACCTTTTGCCACAATTTTCCACATCACATATGAATGACTTTTCATTCAAATGGACAATACGTTTGTGTGAATCGTAATGAGCTTTTTGGGTAAAACTCTTATTACAGTCAACCCATTCGCACGCAAAAGGCTTTTCTCCCGTATGCAGGCGTTTGTGTTTTATTAGATTTGATTTATAACCAAATAATTTGTCACAATTTTCTTCATCACATTTAAATGGTTTGATTTTCAAGTGAACAGCAGTTTTATGTCGTTTTAATAGCTCTTTTAATTTAAACTGTTTGTTACATTCACTCCAATCGCATATAAACTTTACATCTGGTGTCAAATGAATGGCATTTTTATGCTTATGAAGGTAATGTTTATATTTAAAAAGTTTTCCACAATCATTGAAATCACATTTGAATTGTTTTTCATCCGAATGTATGGTTCTGTGTCTAATTAACACACTTTTAGAAACCGCTATATATTGACAATCAGACCAAAGACATGGATAATATGGACCCAATTTATGAATGTTTTTATAATTGGATGACCAAATATTATCACTTATTTTACATGAATTCAAATCAATTGAATTGCAATTCATTGACAAATTCACTGCATTTTCGCATTCAATCCCTTCACACAAAACACTTGCATTTTGTGCAATAAAAGACTTAATTTTATCTAAACTTTGACATAAATTAAGTAATTCATACAATTTAGTCAATTTACTTTTCATTTCATTCATTTTGATAGAATTTCAAATAACTTTATACTTTCACTAATTCAATACAGTGTAAAATGCTTTTCACTGACCATTTATTTTGGAAATATTATTCACAAATAATTTATTTGATAACGATTTCATGTGATAGATTAGCTTTATCAAATAATTCAACGAACTTGTTTACCTACATGGCAATAAATAGGTGACCCAGGCTAAAGGTTGACTAAATAATTAAAATAACAATAATAATTGAAGATTAAATGTAGAATTTGACTATTTTACAAAATTAACTTTAATAAACAAATATACAATACTATATAAAAATTATTTATTTTAAAATAATAGTTTCAACTAAAAATCTCGTGAAATATATTTTGCTTGACTTTCCACGAGCTTGTCATAAAGACCTGGCGTTGCATTTGTCCCAACTTTTGTAAATCAGTTAATAGTTTCAAAAGTTTCTTATATTTTACTTCCGATTCATATTCCGTGCGATATTTCAATAGTAAATAGCGTTTCAGTAAATACATGTAAATGTGTTGTTGATAACTAACCATCAAATTAATTAATAGACAAAATATAAATTTCATAATTATTTTAAACATATCAATTGCTTACTTAACAGCATCCCTGTGCGCAAGCATAGGACGATCCGCATTGAAAAGCATAATTGCTGTCAACTAAACATTATAATTAATAAATTATAATAACTTTCTACATGATTTGACACTACATACCAGTCTAAGTATTTGTGGATCGGAATCCCATTCAACGCAAATGCTATCAAAAACCCATTTCAGTAGGTTTTCATTAGCCATCCCATGCCTCGCATTTAAACTCATTATAAAAGTGTTTGATTTGTCCTAAAAAATTAATTTTAATAAATTGTCATTTTCGCAATCATTATATAAGTATACCGTAGGGAATGTCCATCGACTACGGGTGCTGTCAAAGTAGGGAATGGATCCCAAGTAACTCATATCAAGGCACCCGTACTTAATGAGGCAGACCTTATCATTTTCACACAACCCGGCAAACCCTTGCAAATGCTGTCCTATTTGTGTCAATGCTATCAATTGTTTCTCCAATTTACTTAACACCACATCAAATGTGTGGTCATATTGTGTGAGGATTTGTGGTGTGGCCGGTATGATAGCCTCGTTGAATATGGTTAGGGCTGAGTATAGTTCACATAACTTATTGCCCTCTAATTCATTGAATTGGTTTCTGTAGTCTTGGAGGGGACGGTCGACTGACAAGTATTCATGCTTTGATATGACTACCAACATATCCAGGTCCGTGATTTGTGGTAATAATTTATTATATGATATCCAGTCTTCTTGGGTAAAGGACTTGTAGTTTGGGAGGGTTGGTGTGAGTGGGAGCTCCTGATCCACGGGTTGAAGTATATGGTCTTCACATGAGACATGATTTAGTTGTAAATTAATCTCATTGTCTGTGAAATTGTTTGAATTTTCTAATATGTTTGTGCCATAAGTACAGATACTTTGATCTAAATGATTGTCACTCGATGTTGTGGTCGAGTCTATCGTATTAACATTATGTGAGACATTATTCTCAATACATTGTCCTCTCATTTCTAATCGCTTTTTATATGTGTTTTGAATTTCATCCAAATTTTTTATGCGATTCTGTGTATAATTAATAAATTAATACAAATATTATTTAACAAGTTTTTTGCCACAGAATACAAACTTTTTTCATTCCCATTGAAATGCATTTATGGAGTCGACATCTCTTGCATTGATTCCGTGTTTTAACATTGATTTCACAGTTTTCTGAGAAACAACACTTTAATTGCTATATAATATGCGGGCAATTCATGTTAATTAATAATTTGCAGGTGTTTATAATTAATTGAACAATTCATTAAAAATATAATTACTGTATATTTGATGACATTTCGCCTAAAGAATTGTTTACATGAGGCACAGGTTATGGCATTGAAATTATAACCTAGAAATCACATAAATGTTACATGTAGATCTGATTAAATAATTTCTAAAATCATTAAAGTACCTTGCGCTTTATCTCTACATATTGTGCAGGTTTCATCCATTTACTATCATTCATTTGTAATAAATACAAAATAATTAAATATTAAAATTGTTTGATTGTTTATTTATACAGCAACAAACACATATACACTAAAAATAAATACAATATTATGAAATATCTTTGCAATTCCTAAGTAATGGAGTTTATAGTTGATAAGTATAATATTATCTTTTATTTTGATAGATTATTTATGAAGACTTTAATATTTATTTTATATAATTAATACGACCTTGTTAGAGGAATTTATATCGATATTTAATGTACAGTATACTGTAGCTTACTTTATATACAGTACAATCATTTAATTAAACAACACTAATCTATATTTTTATTACACTTTAATTTTATAACTAAATGCAGATAAAATGAAAGTTTATTTTAAAATATTTAATTAATTAAAAATAATTGTATTCATAATTTAGAAACTTTTATTTTAACCAATAGTAACTTTTTTGTGTTTTATATTAAAATTTAATTTAATAATTAAATTAATAAAACCGCATTTGTTAACAATTAAATATTTAATTAACAGTTTTTGTTGAGAAATATAATATCTCCGAAATGTCTGCCAATAAAAATGGTCAGCGATTGAGTGGACGTCTACTGGACTCGTGTCGAGACATCACTGACCAGATCTTGGGCTCGGATTTCGTTCAAAAAGTGCTAATTAAAGGGGATGTGTCTGAAACTGGTGTCCAGTGCGCTCACCTACGCTACGGGCGTATCGCGGAGATGGCGCCCAACTACCTGGACATTTGCAAACAGGCCGTCCCAATGGCCACCACAGACAGGGAACGACAGTTTATCCGGCAATTAGTCGACGGTTACGATGAGGGCAACCGAGTGTATCGCCGCCAGTTTGATGAGGTCTTCGGCCCTTTCGATGATAGCATACTTCGGGAGCCGATGTCACCCAATGGCCACAAATATGTCAGAGTATTCAAGACATACAACCAATCGTTTCTGCGATTTTTGATCTTAAGTTTGTATAACAATTGGATACTATGCGAGATGTATGTCTACCTGACCGCCCACCCCGACTATACCCCTAATATTGCCACCGATACACAGCTGTGGCGCACGTATCCGATGGACGAGTTTGTGGCATATGTCAGGCAATTGATTGATGAGTACGAGAGCCGTGTGTCGGCTGAGGAGGAACTGGTGCTGAAGGAGATTACAAGACAAGTGGCTGTTTGCCAGCAAAATATCCAATCAATTGATTGAGAAAATAAATAGATTTTAAATAAATCTATTGTATAAAATAAATTGCATACAATCAATACTTTTTATTTAGTTTGTTTCATAATAATGTTTTCACTTTTATATACTTTTATATTTTAAATTACACTTTTATTACACTATGTACTACACATACATTGTGTTCAATATTAATTAAATTGAATTTTATCACGAGATGAATATTTATAAAAACATTTGATTTATAGTTTCAATCTAAAATAGTATTTTTGATTTAAAACAAAATGTTTATTAATATTTAATGTTACAAAAAATTAATTATAATTCTTAGATAAAAGCATGTATTCATTTAAAAATCTCATTTTCAAAGTAAAATAGCAAACAAATGGTTATTTACACGAATGTCTGCGTTTGTGTTGATTTAGATTTCCTTTTGATGAAAACTTTTTGCCACAATTTTCTTCATTACATGTAAACTTCCTTTCATTCAAATGAACACAACTCTTGTGTTGATTTAGACCTGATTTATCAACAAAACATTTGCCGCAATTGTCTTCATTACACTTGAATTTTCTCACATTTAAATGGACATTACTTTTATGTCGATTAAGATCTGATTTAGTATTAAAACATTTGCCGCAATTGTCTTCATTACACTTGAATTTTCTCACATTTAAATGGACATTACTTTTATGTCGATTAAGATCTGATTTAGTATTAAAACATTTGCCGCAATTGTCTTCATTGCATTTTATTAGTCTCTCATTTAAATGTACACCACTTTTGTGTCGTTTAAGATCCTGTTTTGATACAAAACTTTTGCAACAATTTTCTTCATTACACTTGAATTTTCTGTCATTTAAATGAACACTACTTTTGTGTCGATTTAAATTTGTTTTTAAATTAAATGTTTGCTTACATTCACTCCAATCGCACACAAACTTTGCATTTAAATGAATGCTATTTTTATGTCGAGTTAGATCCACATTTGATTTAAATCTTTTGTCACAATCGTTGAAATGACAAACAAATGGTTTATCGCCAGAATGTCTTAGTTTGTGGCCAATAAGACCCGGTTTAGTAGTGAATCTTTTACCACAATTTTCTTCATTGCATTTGAATTTTCTTTCTTTCAAATGAACAGTACTTTTGTGTCGATTTAAATAGTATTTACATATAAACTGTTTGTCACATTCACTCCAATCGCATACATATCTCACATTTAAATGAACACTATTTTTGTGATCATTTAGATGACGTTCATGTTTATATGCTTGATTGCAATTTTTGAAATCACATTTATATTGTCTAGAATTTGAATGTTTTAATTGATGTTTGTTTAAAACACTTTTCTTTAATGTCTTGAACTGACAATTAGGCCAAAAACAGTGAAAATAGTGATAAGTGTTGAGTGTATTAATGGTGTTGTGATTGGAAAGCATTTTATCACTTATTTGACATGAATTCAAATCAATTGAATTGCAATTCATTGACAAAT